GGAGCTAAGGGGTATGTCCTGCAAGGAGAGATGGAGAAAAATCAACCTGACAACACTTGAGGACAGGAGGGATAGGGGAAACATGATAACGACATAAAATTCTGAGAGGAATTGACAAGGTGGATAGGGACAGGATGTTTCAGAGTTGGGAGACAGCAACAATGTGTCACAAATAGAAATTGAAGACAGATGAGTCACAGGGATGTTAGGAAATATTTCTTCAGAGTTGTCAGGCAGTGGAACAATCTGGAGAGTGAAGTAGTGGAGGCAGGATCCATACATAGCTTTAAGAAGAGATACGATAAAGCTCATGGAGCAGGGAGAGAGTGGACCCAGTAGTGACCAATGAAGAGGTGAGGCCAGGAGCTGTGAATCGACCCCCTGCAACCACAAATTGGTAAGAACAAATAGGTAAGAACACGCCACACACACACACACACACACACACACACACACACACACACACACACACACACACACAAAGGCGAAAGGAGGAAAGAGAGGGGATGGAGAAGACAGACAGGAGATCCCAGACCCAGGAAGAAGATCAAATACAGCCTCCCTCACAACTTCCTATAGAAGCCTCCCAACCAGGTCAACCCCAGTGCAACCAAACACTCTAAATCAAAACACCCATGCCACATCCAATGCCCCCACCCACTACATTACAAACTCGACCCCCACAGCAACAACCCATAGTTCCTTACCAGGTCTCCCACTTCCCCAACCCCAATATACTTCCCAGACCACAGTCTTAGAAAAGAAGTTGAAGGTGTGGTATACAAATGCAGATGGAATAACAAACAAGTATGAGGAGTGACACGAAAGAATCAAGGAGACATCCCCAGACATAATAGCACTCACAGAAACAAAACTCACCAGAATAATAACAGATTCAATCTTTCCATCCAGATATCAAATCCTCAGGAAAGACAGAGGGAGGAGAGGGGGAGGAGGAGTTGCACTGCTCATTAAAAACCAGTGGGGTTTCGAGAAAATGGAAGGAATGGATGGCACGGGCGAAAGGGACTACTTAGTAGGAACAATCCAGTCTGAGGGACAAAAGGTGATAATTGCAGTAATGTACAACCCACCACAGAACTGCAGGAGACCAAGAGAAGAATACGATGAGAGCAACAGAGCAATGATCGATACACTAGCCGAGGTGGCCAGGAGAGCACACATGGGGGAAGCAAAGTTACTAGTTATGGGTGATTTCAATCACAAGGAGATTGACTGGGAAAACCTGGAGCCCCATGGGGGTCCCGAAACATGGAGAGCCAAGATGATGGATGTGGTACTGGAAAACCTCATGCATCAACATGTTAGAGACACTACCAGAGAGAGAGGAGAGGATGAACCAGCAAGGCTGGACCTTGTATTCACCTTGAGTACTTCGGACATCGAGGGTATCATGTATGAAAGGCCCCTGGGAGCTAGTGATCATGTGGTTCTGTGCTTCGACTACATAGTTGAGCTCCAAGTGGAGAGGTAGCAGGAATAGGCTGGGAAAAACCAAACTACAAAAGGGGGAACTACTCAGGCATGAGGAACTTCCTTCAAGACATTCAGTGGGAGAGGGAACTGACAGGAAAACCAGTACAGAAATGGACTATGTGGCAACAAAATGCAAGGAGGCAGAGGAGAGGTTTGTTCCCAAGGGAAACAGAATAATGGGAAGAACAGAACGAGTCCTTGGTTCACCCAAAGGTGTAGGGAGGCAAAAACTAGGTCACTAAAAAAAAAAGGCACGAAGACAGAGAACTCAGGAAAATAAGAAACGGCCGAAGAGCCAAAAAACAATATGCACAGATAAGAAGGGAGGCTCAGAGACAATATAAAATGACATAGCATAAAAAAGTAAAGACGCCCCGAAGCTTTTGAAGCCACATCAGGAGGAAAAAAACATCAAGGCCCAGGTAATCAACTGAGGAAGGGTGAGGGGAATTCACAAAAAACCCCAAGAGGTATTCAGAGCTCAACAAAAAGATTTAAAGAGTATTTACATTTTAAAACCAGTAGGACTCCGGGAAAATCAAACAGGGGGGCACACCAGGAATGCGGATGAGGTACATAAAACCCAAGGAGGGGGTGAAAAAGCTGCTAGGGCAATTTGACACCTCAAAGGCGGGGGGACCAGAAAATCTCTCCAGGGCCTTAAAGAGGACAAGTTTTTTTGTGTAGCCTTTAACAAAGATCTTCAACACATCATTTGACACGGGGAAACCCCGAGGTATGGAAATGGCAAATGTATCCCAATTTTTAAAAAGGGAGACAGACATGGGCACTAAACTACAGACCTGTATCACAACGTGTATAGATGCAAAGGGCATGGAGAAGACAAGGAGAGTGGTGGGCCCTGGAAAAAAAAAGTGTATAATTGACAACCAGCACGGTTTCAGGGAAGGAAAATCCTGTGTCACAAACCTACTAGAGTTTTATGACAAGGTGACAGAAGTAGACAAGAGAGAGAGGGGTGGATGGGACTGCATATTTTTGGACTGCAAGAAGGCCTTCGACACAGTTCCTCACAAGAGGTTATTTGCAAAAGCTAGAGGATAGGCACACATAACAGGAAAGGCACTGCAATGGATCAGAGAATACCTGACAGGGAGGGCAACACGAGTCATGGTACGCGAGGGAAGGTGTCAGAGTGGGCGCCTGTGACAAGCGGGGTTCCACAGGGGTCAGTCCTAGGACCTGTGCTGTTCTTGGTATATGTGAACGACATAACGGAAGGGATAGACTCAGAAGTGTCCTTGTTTGCAGATGATGCGAAGTTAATGAGAAGAATCAAATCGGATGAGGATCAGGCAGGACTACAAAGAGACCTGGACAGGCTACAAGCCTGGTCCAGGTGAATTTAACCCTGCCAAATGCAAAGCCATGAAGATTGGGGAAGGGCAAAGAAGACCGCAGACACAATATAGCTTAGATGGCCAAAGACTGCAAACCTCACTCAAGGAAAAAGATCTGGGGGTAAGTATAACACCGAGCATATCTCCTGAGGCGCACATCAGTCAGATTGCTGCAGCATACGGGCGCCTGGTAAACCTACGGATAGCGTTCCGATACCTCAGTAAGGATTCGTTTAAGACTCTGTATACCATTTACGTCAGGGTGGCCCGGTGGCCTGGTGGCTAAAGCTCCCGCTTCACACACGGAGGGCCCGGGTTCGATTCCCGGCGGGTGGAAACATTTCGACACGTTTCCTTACACCTGTTGTCCTGTTCACCTAGCAGCAAATAGGTACCTGGGTGTTAGTCGACTGGTGTGGGTCGCATCCTGGGGGACAAGATTAAGGACCCCAATGGAAATAAGTTAGACAGTCCTCGATGACGCACTGACTTTCTTGGGTTATCCTGGGTGGCTAACCCTCCGGGGTTAAAAATCCGAACGAAATCTTATCTTATCTTATCTTATCTAGGCCCATACTGGAGTATGCAGCACCAGTTTGGAATCCACACCTAGTCAAGCACGTCAAGAAATTAGAGAAAGTGCAAATGTTTGCAACAAGACTAGTCCCAGAGCTACGGGGATTGTCCTACGAAGAAAGGTTGAGGGAAATCGGCCTGACGACACTGGAGGACAGGAGGGTCAGGGGGAGACATGATAACGACATATAAAATACTGCGCGGAATAGACAAGGTGGACAAAGACGGGATGTTCCAGAGAAGGGACACAGACACTAGAGGTCACAATTGGAAGTTGAAGACTCAGATGAATCAAAGGGATGTTAGGAAGTATTTCTTCAGTCATAGAGTAGTCAGACCGTGGAATAGCCTAGAAAGTGACGTAGTGGAGGCGGGAACCGTTTTAAGGCGAGGTATGATAGAGCTCATGGGGCAGGGAGAAAGAGGACCTAGTAGCAATCAGCGAAGAGGCGGGGCCAGGAGCTGTGAATCGACCCCTGCAACCACAAATAGGTGAGTACAAATAGGTGAGTACACACACACACACACACACAAACCCTGGACATGTGAATTAATCATTACCTTCATAACTTTGGGGCCCAGTCCCTGGACCCATTATGTACCTCTATAATCTTTTTTTGACTACCGCCCACAGTTTTTTAGTTTAATATGTTTATTATGCACCCCATACCCATCCTGTGGGCGGTAGTTAAAAGATTACAGAGGTACATAATTGGTCCAGGGACTGGACTCCAAAGTTTTGATAGCTGAGCAAGTTACAGATGTAATGAACTCACAATTTACAAAAGTAATGAACTCACAATTTACAAAGGTAATGAACTCATAATTTACAAAGGTAATGAACTCCAGGTAGGTCTGGTCACAATCATGTCAAGTTACAAAGGTATTTACAGATTACAGAGGTACGTAATGGGTCCAGGGACTGGGCCCCCAAAGTTTTGATAGCTGAACTAGGTACAAGGTAATGAACTCACAAGTTACAAAGGTAATGAATCCTGTAAGAATGGTTACTTACGTTTATACATGGCTACAGTCATGAACAAATTATAGTGTAATGAGCAATTCACACTTCCACACCCGGTCACAACTGTAGTGAGTTATTGGTGCAAATATTGATTGAGTCACACACACACACCACACACACACACACACACACACACACACACACACACACACACACACACACACACACACACACACACACACACACACACACACACACTTTAGATGGGTCTGGGATGCATAATAAACATATTTAACTAACAAACAGGGCCTGTCTGCTGTTTCAAGTATGGTTGATAGTGTCAGTCGAAAATTTGTTCTTTGTCTTAACTGAATGGAAATTTCCTTTCTTATCTCTCCGCTCTAACTACCACTCAATTTACTTCCCCTTTACCCTTCATTTTGTATTTTTGTCCGTTACCGCCTTATTCTGACTAGGTCACACCACAGCTTGCTCAACTGGCTACTTGTTTTCCTTTTCTTTAACTTTAGTCTCCCCTCTCATCCTTTGATTATCATGCATTTCTTGCTTGTGGGTGGATGTTAATTAGTTGTTACTGAGGTGTTAAACTGTTTGTGGTGGTTGGTTGCAGCCATGCACCGTGGTCGGAGGTGGGTATGGCGTGGGTTGGGTCGTGCAGGAGTGCTTGTGGTGACGGCACAGGTGCTGGTAGGTGTGTTGGCCGTCACACTGGCTGCCTGGCTCCTCATGTGGGCGCCCTCACTCAAGTTCAGGGAGGTTCCTCACTACGCTGGTGTTCCGGTAAGTGTGGGCAGGTAGGTGGGGCGGCACATCCTACGATGCTGCCGGAATGTGTAAGATGCAGGCTGTTATAATAATCTTTACATTATTGTGATGCTGATTTACTCAATGAATTTTTTCTATCATTTTATCGTTAAATGTTAAAGGATGGAAGTCAGTTTATTATATTAAGTGGTATACAATTGAGCCAGTGAGACCAGCCGAGCTAATTTGTTCCCTCAAAGGTCGAGGAACTGAACCAGTTTTTATAGCAGTAGTGATGTTGCAGGTGTTGTTGGCAGGAGTGTTCGGCGCTGTCCTCATCAGCTGCTTCCAGAAGCGCCGGCAACGCTGCCTTGCCAACCTCATCAAGGTCAGACTTCCTGTAACATATCTACATTTTATTGTATTTGTCATAAAGTTACCTGACACATTTGTTGGTGTCGTTGCCCTATGATGGACACGTGACATTTCTAGTTACCTTCTGCTAAATACAAGTCCATGATATCTTTATTATGTGTCACATTTAGGCGTAAGATATTGCTACGAATTTTATCCAGGGTTGTTTAAGCAAGTAATAACTGCACTAGCTGATAACGTAATTTTATCGCATGCCATCTTAGTTGCTTAGGATATACATAGGAAAGATTTGTGCATCTTTTTTACGTGTGTAAGGGTAATTCATGGTTATAGACCATTATTATTTACAGTGATTATAAAAGGTATATTCCAACAGGGTGTGGTGGTAAGTGTGTGCTGCGTGAGTATAGTGACCTGCCTGTGTGTGTGCATCTTCACAGCCCTGCACCTCACTCAACTATCTGCCATGACCTGCTACACGCGGCACTCCTTCCTTCCCACCACAACCACACAGCACCCACCTACACATACCACTACTGCATACTCTGGTTTTAGTACTCCATCGTCGTATAAAGTCTTCAAGAGCCATCTTGCCGGGATTGAGGACGACGAAGATGAGAGTGAAGGCAGCGGGCGTGAACCCAGGAACTTGCCCCTTGAAGAGAATGTCGACGAGGCTCAGCATTTCGAAGCAGTCACTCTTGAGACTTCGTCTGTAGGACTGGAGAACGAGGTTGTAATGAACGTGACTTTCTGTGAATGTGAGAAGAGGGGATCCACTTGGGTGCGGACGCTGAGGTATCGTAACCTCTCCTGTTTAGACGTGAACAACATTTTGCCAGTGTTGTTCGTGGCGTCTTGTGTCGTCACTGCTGTCGGAGCCCTCCTGTCAGGGCTCGTACTTTATCTTCTGTGGTCCTTCAGATCTAATTTTTATGGTCCTGCCAAACTTTATGAAACTCGACCATTTATATTCACCAGCAATGTCAAAAACAATAGCAAAGCAAGTAATGGCTCTGGTACTAAAGTGACCAACGGAGATTCTCAGTTCAGGTGACGAAGGTAACTACTGGACCAGAAAATACCTGGGTCAGATGTGAACAATGTATGAAATCAACAAAAGTTAGTGAAAGAAGTGGCAAGTGACTAAAGTCAGTGAAGTCAGTCTGTTGCATACACAGTAGAGTAGCAGATTATGTAGCATATTCAAAGTGCATCTTCATGAAGCAACAAACCGAGTCTCTCTAATGAAGCAATTTCAGTTACATTTATTTTTGTACTGTGTACAAACTATTAACTGGACTTCCATAGTCTGCAAAAGACAGTGCACTAAACTAAATTATACTGAAAATATGTCGTTTGTAATATGTTTAGTTTTAGAGGGAATGTCCCTCCTTAGTAAAGTCATTATACACAAATCGTATCTGTATGCCTTCATAGGTTTTAGAATTAATTTTCTAACCTCATTTCAGGGAGCAAATAGTGCAAGGTAAAAATATTAATAGTGAGCAACTTTGTTGACAGCTTTGACCAGTGTTATGAATATTGACAGCTTTGACCAGTGTTATATGAATATTGACAGCTTTGACCAGTGTTATATGAATATTGACAGCTTTGACCAGTGTTATATGAATATTGACAGCTTTGACCAGTGTTATGAATATTGACAGCTTTGACCAGTGTTATATGAATATTGACAGCTTTGACCAGTGTTATATGAATATTGACAGCTTTGACCAGTGTTATGAATATTGACAGCTTTGACCAGTTTTATATGAATATTGACAGCTTTGATCAGTGTTATATGAATATTGACAGCTTTGATCAGTTACTAAATGTAGACAGCTTTGACTGATGTTATATAAATGCTGACACCTTTGACCAGTGTTATATGGTTGACACCTTTGACCAGTGTTATATGGTTGACAGCTTTGACCAGTGTTATATGGTTGACAGCTTTGACCAGTGTTATATGGTTGACAGCTTTGACCAGTGTTATATGGTTGACAGCTTTGACCAGTGTTATATGGTTGACACCTTTGACCAGTGTTATATGGTTGACAGCTTTGACCAGTGTTATATGGTTGACACCTTTGACCAGTGTTATATGGTTGACACCTTTGACCAGTGTTATATGGTTGACAGCTTTGACCAGTGTTATATGGTTGACACCTTTGACCAGTGTTATATGGTTGACAGCTTTGACCAGTGTTATATGGTTGACAGCTTTGACCAGTGTTATATGGTTGACACCTTTGACCAGTGTTATATGGTTGACAGCTTTGACCAGTGTTATATGGTTGACAGCTTTGACCAGTGTTATATGAATGTTGACAATTTTAACCAGTGTTAATGTTGATAACTTTGAGCAGAGTTATGTGAAGTTTATGCTGTTTATAATAAAATAAGGAGATGAAATTTTCAATAATACATGCACAAGTTATTGAAGAACAATATCTTGGTTATCTGAGCTCATTAACCGAACATCAAATAATGCTTTTACAATACCATTCATGACTGTAGAGGCTGTCACTTTCCTAACCGTAACAAAAGTAGTGACCATTGTGGTTACTAGTAAACTCCAGATGTCAATGCCGTCTCGGCCCGGTCCCAGACCAGTCCTCCTGCTTAGTTGAAGTTAATGCAACCTTTTACTCTGATAGTTTTTATGACTAATCAGTCTTGTAATTTTCTCCAAAGTTATTTATTAATTTTAAAATAAATGTTGGAGCGTAAAGCTTTACGAGAATAACTGTGATCATCGTGTAAAGAGGGAAGTATTAACAGTGTACAGAATAAAGAAAAATGTTAACACTTCACAGTGACGGTAACTCTATACAGTGGAGTGGTCCTGAATCTGTACACGCAAATCACCCACAACACAAACAAAAAACTCGGCAGAAGGTTCGGTAGGGATGCCAGGAGTATACCGAGAGACAATAAGTATGAAAGAGACCCAAGATTATTCAACAACCTTCCATCATGCATAAGTGGGATTGCCAGTAGATACCTATGTATCTCTCCTCGGGGGGAATATATAGGTTCCTCAAGTCAATCCCTGGTTATGTTAGGTAAGACACATATGCAACAGTTAGACAACTTTATTCCGAAACGTTTCGCCTACACAGTAGGCTTCTTCAGTCGAATACAGAAAGTAGGCAGGAACAGTAGAGATGTGAAGACGATGTAATCAGTCCATCACCCTTGAAGTCGTAGAATTTGAGGTTGTCAGTCCCTCGGCCTGGAGAAGTTCAGTTCCATAGTCAGGAACTATCTGAAGATCAAGCGACAGTGCGGAGACTTAAATACTGTCGGAAGGAGAGGTGCAGAGTAGTAGTAGTAGTAGTGGTTAGCTGGATTGTGGTTCGTACGTTGGAATGCGTGTTGTCAGCAGTAACAGCCTAGTTGATTTGGCCCTAATCCGCCGGATGGCTTGGTAATGCACCGGGTCGCGGTGACGACCTTCGGGAACTCAGGGTAGGTAGCCATACGTGGGGGCAGATTATTATTATAATCAAAAAGAAGCGCTAAGCCACAAGGGCTATACAGCACGTGGGGGCAGAGGGCACTGTATATTTCCCCACACCACTGATTTAGGGGGGCGATTCTCAACCATTTCACGCACAGGACTTCATTTTTAACCTCGTAATTTAACAGATCATGCTGATAGTTTTAATTTGACTGGGATAGACGTTGATTGACGAAGGAAACTCCAGCAGTGGCTGGAGGAGCAATACTTGGTGCCAAGCTTCCCACACCAGTGATAGCTAGGTAATATACCTTGTGTAAGTGTACATAAAACACATGAAAATAAATTTATACATTATAAATGTATTATTATTTCAGTCATTTTAATTTTTGCTTCCTTTACAAGACTTAGGGCATAGATGTATGACCCATACAGGTTTAGAATTGTTAAGTCAAGTACGTAGGTAATTCAATTTTATGTGGATAGTTTTATGAATTATTTTATATTAGCTGAACACATCCTCTTCATCCCTTCTCACGCAGACTCGCTCACACACACACACACACACACTAAAGGTAGAGTAGAGGGAAGTACGGCAGGTGGCGGGTGAGAGAAGCCAGACTTTAGAGTTTAGAGGAAGGAACTTTGAAGGGAAAATTCCTAGAGGCAGTCAAGAGGGATAGATAATTGAAAGTTGTCACCAAATGAGATGGAGTATCTAGCTGAAAAATTCCGAAAAGCAGAATTTTGCCTAGAAGACGAGTGACAATGAATAGATGTCTAGGGCAATTGGTGAAAATTGTAGTATCTTTTTGACCAATAATGAACTTCTAATCCCATTCATTGCCAACTGGGACAATTTCTATGGCAAGCATTATGCAAGGGTGGCAGCGTTAACCAACTCTGTAGAGGGATTGGGGGCCATTGTTGAGCTGTTTAGGACTTTTAAACTGATAGACAAGAAGTATGAGTGTGTGACGAAAAATAGGTTGTAGCTCAAAGAGAATTCTAGGCTTCATGTCAAGTATAAACAATATTACATTATTATTATAATAAAAAAGAAGCGCTAAGCCACAAGGGCTATACAGCGCTGCAGGGTAGGAAAGGAAGCGAGGGTATTGGGCGGCATAAGGGGGGAGGGGCGATCAGTAGGTTACAGAAAACAGCGGGGCAGGGGATAGTGCAGGGTAGAGGGTAGCAAGAGATCGAGGTAGAAAGGGCTGAAGGTATCATCAGAGTTTGTGAAGTAAGTCAGTTGTTGTCAAAAAGTCAATGAGAGAGTCCGGATGAAAGGTGGGTCCATCAGCGAGAAGGGAAGGTAAAGAGAGAGCAGCGGAGCGAAGACAACGTTGGAGGTAAATTCTGCGTGCTCGTTGGCTGACCGATAATGGAACCTGACAATTCTCACAGAGAGGAGCAGGGCACCTCTCCATGAGATATCCATGAGTAAGACGAGTATGGCCAATGCGGAGACGGGAGAAAGTAGTCTCCCAACCTCAGCACTGGTGACAAGACGGCCAGTAACCTATACTCGGGTTAATAGATTGAAGTTTGTTACCGAGTAGAGTAGACCAACGTTGCCAACGGGTGTGAAGTATAAACAACAGACAACAGTCTTCAGGTTATTCCTCAACCCGATATATCGTTGGTTAGATTTAGATTATGGTGCACAGTTCTGGTCAGCATGTTACAGAACGAATATAAATGCACTGGAAAACGTACAGAGGTTGACAAAGATGATCCCATGTATCAGAAATCTTTCATGCGAGGATGACTGAGGGCGCTGAATTAAGGGGAAATATGATCGAGGTGTGTAAATGGAAAGCAGGAATAAAGGGGATGTAAATAACGTTGCTGCAAGTTAAGACTTGCAGCAATGGGTTAAAGATGGAAAAAAAATAGATTTAGAAAGGATATAAGAAAGCACTGGTTTGGATTATTATTATAACCAAAACTAAGCACTAAACCCACAAGGGTCATACAGTGCTGCAGGGTAAGGTATGCTGAAGGTTTAATATGCCTGATCTGATACTAGCCAGGGTGGAGAGTATAACAGCGGCTGAGTTAGTAAGAGGCAGTGAGGAGTGCTAAAGTAAATATAATCAAAATCTGTATAAACGTTGCTGTTATTATTATTATAATCAAAAAGAAGCGCTAAGCCACAAGGACTATACAGCAAACGTTGCTGTTAAAATAAGTAAAAGAGTCTGTGTCAGAGGCAGGGCCGTCAGCGAGGAGGGAAGATAAAGTAAAGGTGTTTGAGCGGTGACGACGTCCGAGGTAAATTCTGCGTGCTCGCTGGTGGACAGGAGTCCAATGTAATGGTTTGGAGAGCTGGGGATTAGTTGAACAAACTCCCGAGTAACGTCATTGAAGCTAAAATCTTGTGTAGCTTTAAAAGTTAGACAAGTACACAGTGAGAGTTGGATTTGCCTAGCATTGGCCAGCAGTCCTGCTGCAATGCACCTTTATGTTCATACAATACCCAAAGGAATTGATAAGGTGGACAAGATGTTTCGAGGCAAAACAGGTACTTGGGGGAAGCAGCAGGCAGAGATGAGCCATAGGAATGCCAGTAGGGTAGTCTTCATACATAGTTGTAAGAGCAAGTATGATAGGGTTCTTGAGGCTCGATAGTAGTACCCGAGTGTTAAGATAAGATAAGATTTCGTTCGGATTTTTAACCCCGGAGGGTTAGCCACCCAGGATAACCCAAGAAAGTCAGTGCGTCATCGAGGACTAACTTATTTCCATTGGGGTCCTTAATCTTGTCCGCCAGGATGCGAACCACACCAGTCGACTAACACCCAGGTACCTATTTGCTGCCAGGTGAACAGGACAACAGGTGTAAGGAAACGTGTCGAAATGTTTCCACCCGCCGGGAATCGAACCCGGGACCTCTGTGTGTGAAGCGGGAGCTTTAGCCACCAGGCCACTAGCAGACTTGTGGGTCACAACAGAGGAAGGGGTGGTTAGTATACCTTAGACAGGGCTTTGAAATAAGCTGAGGTAGGATAACAGCTTTCAGATTGTATTACAATAAAAAAAAACGCTAAACCCACAAGGGTTTTAGACTGTAAAATTGGTATATACAACAGGGAAAGAGACATTGCCACGCAGCAAGTTGAGAGGCGAGGATCTCTGGCTTGACCCCGAGAACCATATAGGTGGAGAGTACACACACAGGTTAATATGTAAGCCAGCAGATGAAACTTGTGTAATGTTTGAGTCATTTGTTAACGTTTGACACTTGTTCTCAATTTACTGGTTGCGACTGTGCGTCAGTGGATGTGCTTATACAAAAATCTTATTTGGTTCAAATATAATGCAGTTTACATGTAATGTATGAGACTTTGATAGTCGCAGCTTCGTATTACTCTGCAAATAGCTTTATAACCCATACGGTACGGTTTCGCGCTTGTCCTGTTATACTACTTGGTAGTCCTGTAGGACTACCAAGATTGCCGCATAAATGCTGCATCATTATTGAACACCCTCATCCTTCGTTAAAACTTAATTCATAAATTAAATAAAAGCTGGCAATACTGGAAGAAGAGTGTGTTTCCTGCCGGGGTGCCACATATAAACACAGTGAGGCGACCTGTAGCTCAGAAGCGCAGCTTAGCTCATTACTTTCACCACAACGTCTGTATTCACAGGTTTGAGAATTTCCACAAATACTTGTAACCATGTTCACTATTATCCTAATCTCCATCTCAATGGAAGTTGAACTTTTGAGTGTTTTCGCAGTGCTTATTATTTTATTATAATCAACGGGAAGCGCTAAACCCGTAGGATTATACAGCGCCTGGGGGGGGGGATGTGGAAGGCATTCAGGCTTAATTCGGGGAACTGGAGGACAGCTCCAATTCCCTAAATCAAGAGCCCCTCACCAACATCAAGGAACCTTCCCTGAGGGGTCGCAGTGCTTAGAACAGTCAAATGTTTTCTGAACTTTTAAAAATCTTTGAAATCTGCTTTGGGATTGAACCCGTGGACAGAGTCTCAAAACTCCAGACCGTCGCGTTAGCCACGGTCTAGTGGCTATTATTATTATTATAATCAAGGGGGAAGCGCTAAACCCGGAGGATTATACAGCGCCTGGTCTAGTGGCTAACGCGACGGTCTGGAGTTTTGAGACTGACCGCGGGTTCAATCCCGACCGGGGTATGGTTTGTTTGCAATCGTGTCATTACGATTTCGTGAATCAAATCTGCTTTAATATACATTATACATAATATGCATTTTATATTATACGTGTATACATATATTCACGCATGAATATACATTTAATTCAACAGGCTTCCTGTGCTCAAGTAACATTACTGACGATGAGGTCCTTCAGTCAAGCAGCCACATTCCTCTTGCTAACTGTGTAAGTAATACTGTACTGCATAATGTTGGGACTTATTGCCTGTGCGTCAGCAGAAGTGCTGCAGTGCTCGATTATTCTTAAATTTATGATGGCGTGTAAGAGTTATTTGTGTAGTATCAACTTGTTGGTATTGTATACCATTAATAATAAGATGCATTATTGTTGTCAGACTGAGTGTGCGACCAGAATGGGCCGCCTCCTTGGCCTTATTTGACAAGATCAACCTCACTAAAACTCAGGAGATCGCGATCCAGAGAGTAGATGAGCTCCTGAATGACTTCCTTAGACATGTAGGTGAACTGAACGACTTTCTTAAGACATAGGGGGTTTAGCGCTTTTTTTTTATTATAATAATTAGGCATGTTGGTGGTGACGTCCATTTCTGTAAAGTTTCTCCTCACCTCTTCTGACCTGGCTTTTGATTTAACACAAGAACAAATATGTGGATTATTATTATAATCAAGGGGAAGCGCTAAACCCGGAGGATTATACAACGCCTGGGGGGGGATGTGGAAGGCATTCAGGCTTAATTCGGGGAACTGGAGCACAGATCCAATTCCCTAAATCAAGAGCCCCTCACCAACATCAAGGAACCTTCCTTGAGGGGTGGGCCCCCAAAGCTTTGATTGCTGAACTAGGTACAAAGGTAATGAACACACAAGTTACAAAGGTAATGAATAATGTAAGTAAATTTATTTACTTAGTTTATACATGGCTACAATCATGAACAAATTATAGAGTAATGAGCAATTCACACGTCCACACCCGGTCACAACTGTAATGAGTTATTGGTGCAAATATTAATTGTTGGGTCTCTCTCTCTCACACACACACAGGACTCACCAACAAGGGGACACACAAGTTGAAGACACAGATGAATCACAGGGATGTTAGGAAGTATTTCTTCAGTCACAGAGTAGTCAGGAAGTGGAATAGTTTGGAAAGCGATGTAGTGGAGGCAGGATCCATTCATAGCTTTAAGCAAAAGTATGATAAAACTCATGGTGCAGGGAGAGTGACCCAGTAGCGGCCAGTGAAGAGGCGGGGCCAGAAGCTATGACTTGATCCCTGCAACCTCAACTAGGTGAGTACACTCACAAATAGGTAACACACGAGTACAAACACTCACACACGAGTACACAAATACACACACACACAAGCGCACACAGACACAAGTGGTGCAAGGAGTGACCCAGTAGCGGCCAGTGAAGAGGCAGGGCCAGGAGCTATAACTCGACTCCTGCAACCACAACTAGGTGAGTACACACACACAACTTGGTAATGCTTTATTTACAGGGAGCAAAGTCAGGGTATTTTTCCAGAATGGTCTGTAATATACCACTGGATAAAATACTTTGACATATCTTGAACATTTCTAAGCGAGTTGTCTAGGAATGCATTAATTTTATCGCACTCCAGTACATAATGACGAAGGGTGTCCATCTGGCTAAGTGGCTGATTATTCCACCTACTGACCACTTTTTTTCAAAACCATACTTGTCTACATCCTTTCTAGACCTATACTTAACCATGGCATCTCCCTCTGGATCTATTATTCTGCCTATTTTTGCCTGCGCATATTACCTCATTTCACTTATTTCTTCGTCAATGTCATCAATGTGCTCTCAACCTGTAACTTGATTCCTATTCTGATTTCACCCCATTTATACAGATTATTATTATTATAATCAAAAAGAAGCGCTAAGCCACAAGGGCTATACAGCGCTGCAGGGCAGGAAGGAAGCGAGGGCATCAGGTGGCAAAAGGGAGATGGATGAGTAATAGGTTACGGATAACAGCGGGGTAGTGGATGGTGAAAGGGTAAAGGGCAGCAAGAGACTGAACTAGAAAGGGCTGAGGGGAGTGCGAAAAGTATCATCAGAGTTTGTGGAGTAAATCAGTCGTTGTCAAGAAGTCAATGAGAGAGTCAGGATTAAAGGAGGGTCCATCAGCAAGAAGGGAAGGTAAAGAGAGTAGTAGAACGAAGACGACGTTGGAGGTAAATTCTGCGTGTCGTTGATAGAGAGGGCAGTCTAAACAGAATGTGGCTAATCGATACTGGAACTTGACACTGCTCACAGAGAGGAACAGGGTGCCTCTCCATGAGATACCCATGAGTAAGACAAGTGTGGCCAATGCGAAGGCGGGAGAGAGTGGTCTCCCAACCTCGGCACTGATGACAAGAAGACGGCCAGTAACCTATGCTCGGTTTAATAGAATGAAGTTTGTTACCGAGCAGAGTTGACCAACGTTGTTGCCAACGGGTGCGAAGGTGGGTAGCTATTGCAGCAAAATAGTCCAGAAATGGAACACCTCGATAGGAAATTGGTAGGTCATGTACTGCTGACCACGCAGCAGTGTCTGCCTGTTCATTGCCCTGTACGTCGACATGACAAGGGACCCAACAAAAAACAATATCTTTATGTTTGGTAGAGATACGGCATAGCCAAAGTTGGATACGGAGAACTAGGGGATGAGATGTATCAAATTTTCGTATAGCCTGTAGAGCACTAAGGAAGTCTGAGACTACTACAAATGATGACACAGGCATAGATGCGATACGAATAAGTGCTGCAAGAATGGCATACAGTTCAGCAGTAAAAATGCTAGCTGAAGATAGTAAATGTCCCCGCACGACGCTGTCCGGAAACACTGCTGAGAATCCGATGCCGTCTGAAGACTTAGAGCCATCTGTGTACACAGCGGTGGCATGAGAATGGGAGTGGAAGTGATCAAGAAAAAGAGAGCAGGAAGCCACCATAGGCAGTTGAGCTTTCGAGCAAGGGAGTGAGAAAGAACAGACCCGAACAGCTGGAACTTCCCAGGGGGGTAGGGAAAAGTGAGATGCTACATGAACATATAAAGGTGGTAACTGAAGGGAAGACAAGAGTGAATATAGGCGAAGAGAAAAGGGACGGAGCAAACAGGGGCGGCGAACGAATAAAGAATGTCTACTAATATCGGTGACCATTCTATATTATTATTATTATTATTATAATCAAGGGGGAAGCGCTAAACCCGGAAGATTATACAGCGCCTGGGGGGGGGGGATGTGGAAGGCATTCAGGCTTAATTCGGGGAACTGGAGCACAGATCCAATTCCCTAATCAAGAGCCCCTCACCAACATCAAGGAACCTTCCTTGAGGGGGACCATTCTATAAATGGAAGGATTGTGTAGATCGTGAGAGCGTACATAGTAGCGAAGGCAATGGGCATCACGGCGATCAGACAAGGATGGAACATTCGCTTCTGTATAGAGGCTCTCAACAGGGGAAGAGCGAAAAGCACCAAGGCACAAACGTAATCCTTGGTGATGGATAGAGTTAAGGCTAGAGAGAGTAGCAGGAGAGGCCGCGGAATAAATCTGGTCACCATAATCGAGTTTCGATAAAACGAGGGCTGAATGTAGGCGAAGCAGAGTTCGACGATCAGCAAGATGAGCAAGGGTTTTAAGAAGGTTTAGCCGGCTGTGACAAGTTGCCTTCAGAGAGGTAATGTGAGGTTTCCAGGTTAACCGACGGTCAAAGAGAAGGCCTAGAAACCTGACTGTATCACGTTCGGGGATACGGGAGCCATAGAGATACAAAGGATGATCGGAGATAACAGAGCGTCTAGTGAAAGTAATTTGGTGAGGTTTGGTACTTGAATATTTAAACCCATGCGTGGTGGCCCAAGTGGAAACACAGTCGACCGCATGCTGGAGAGAAACTACAATAAGATGAGTCAGCGCCTGCACAAGCAATAGCAAAGTCATCAACATAGAGTGATGACCAAATATTGGGTGGAAGAACAGAGGCCAAATCATTTATAGCAAGGAGAAACAGTGTTGTGCTTAGAACACATCCCTGAGGGACACCTTTCCCTGGACGAAGTTCGGGGAAAGAACATTATTGACTCAAACACGGAAATGTCTGTCAGTTAAAAAGTTCTTAAGGAAGGATGGTAGATTGCCTCGGAGGCCTAAGGAATGGGCCTGGGCCAAAATATTATACCTCCAAGTTGCGTCATATGCCTTCTCAAGGTCAAAAAATATGGCAATAACTGAGTGATTATTCGCAAAGGCATTACGAACATACGTATCCAAGCGTAGTAAGGGGTCTATGGTAGAACGACCCTTACGAAAGCCATATTGACTAGCGGAGAGACTGTTGTGAGTCTCTAAATACCACATTAAACGTCGATTTACGAGACGTTCCATCACTTTGCAAACTGCACTAGTAAGAGCGATTTGGGGCGATAAATGGGAGGCATCATGTCCTGTATACCGGTTTGCGGAAAGGGAGAACAATGGCAGATTTCCAGAGCTGGGGAAGAACTCCTTGTGCCCAAATAAGATTGAAGAGGTGTAAGAGGACTACAAGGGCTGACCGATGTAAAATGTTGTAACATACGAATATGAATGTCGTCAGGCCAGCTGCCGATATCGGCAAGCTGAGAGCGTTGCCTCCAGTTCTTAAGTGTAAAAGGCACATTATACTGTTCTTCTCTGAGAGAAGAAAAGTCCAAGGGTACTAACTCTCTGGCAGACTTTGAGGAAAGAAACGAGGGGCATAGATGGAGCCCTCGGGAAATACGGACCAGATGTGTGCCAAGTTCAATGGCAACGTCGAGAGGGTTTGCTACATCAACACCAGCGACCCGTAGAACAGGAGCCGGGTCAGGAGAGTATTTACCACTCAATTTCCTCACTTTTTTCCAGACTGCACTCATAGAAGAAGCAGAGGTGATGGTGGAAACAGTCTCGCCAACAAGTGCGTTTAGCTTCACGGATGACACGGCGAGCGATCGCACGCTTCTGCTTAAAATCAAGAAGTCTCTCAGCAGTTCTATTGTACCGGTACCTGCCCCATACAGCACGTTTCAAACGTACTGCACGAGCACAAGCAGGAGACCACCAACGCACGCACTTCTGAGAATGCCTGCCTGAGGTTTGGGGTATAGAATGAGAAGCTGCGGTATAAACTGACGTCGAGAAGATGTGTAGGAGCTCATCAATGGAGGATGAAGAAGGAACCTCACTAAAAGCAATGAGGTGTGAGTAAAGATCCCAATTTGCCCGATCAAATTTCCAGCGAGGGCTACGGAAAGGTGGTGAATAGGAAGGAGAAGTAAGAATGATCGGAAAATGATCGCTGTCATGTAAGTCTGGTAGAACAGACCAGGTGAAGTCTAGTGCAGTGGAGGAAGAGCAGACTGACAGATCGATGCAAGAGACAGTATGAGTACGAGGATCAAAATGGGTGGGACTACCCGTATTTAAAACATGGAGGGGGTGAGAGGCGAGAAAAGCCTCCAACTGAATGCCACGCGAGTCATAACGAGACCCCCCCCCCCGAGGAAATGGTGGGCATTAAAATCACCAAGTAACAGAAGTGGTGGTGGTAAGGATGAAACAAGAAAGGCAAAGTCTGAGATAGAAAATGCTCGAGAAGGAGAGAGATATAAAGAACATATTGTAAACCACTTATTCAAGTGGATACAGGCTGCAGTGTAATGCAGTGAGGTATGGACAAATAGTTGACAGTACGGAATATCATTGCGTAGAAGAAAATTGGGACAGTAATGGACTGTACCAAAGTAGAGGGGAAGGGAACAGTATAAGGGACTGGAGATGAAGTGTGGGGGGGGGGTGGCCAGAAGAGGCAGAAACCTGGGAGGTGGCAGAAGAGGGAGAAACTTGGGAGGGGAGGGGACGGGGGTGGAAGGCATAGAACAAGGAGGAGGGTGAATCTCCACACTTGTAATAGAGCCAGAGACAGGGGAAGAACTAGGTACAGAGACTGGAAAAGTAAAGTGTGGAGGTGGAAGAAGGGAAGGAAGGGGCAAAGAAGATTTGAGCAATGTGGATTTTTTTGACTTCTGAGTAGAGGGGCGATTGGTATTAGGTGTTGTACGAGGTCTTGTCGATACTGGGGCTTGTGAGGAAGGACGCGAAGATGTGAGAACAGACTGAGTTGTAGTCGGGACGTCAGAGCCAAGGACAGCAAAACGATTAGATGCCGTAGTGGCTATGGGAGGGGTAACAACAGAGGAGGCTGCAGAAGATGGTACCCCAGAAGTGGGGGGATGTTTGGAAACAGGAGAATAAGAAACACGGGGTAGTCTCTCTTGGAGGCGGAGATGAGTAACTACCATAGCATAAGGGAGACCTTCTGCCTCTTTGAGGCAACGGATTTCACGTTCATTTAAGTAGACCTGGCAACGGCGGGAGTACGAAGGGTGAGCTTCATTACAATTAAGGCAAGATGGAGGTTGACTGCAAGATGTATTAGAATGGTCGTCGGCACCACAGACTGGGCATTCGGCCATAGATCTGCAATATTTCGCTGGGTGACCAAAACGCCAGCAATTTCTACATTGTTGCGGTGTAGGTATCACCTTTCGAACTTGTAACCGATGTCCCGCGACATATACAGAGGACGGGAGCTCTCCGCTGTCAAAAGTTAAACGAGCCACATTGCAAGGGTAACGTCTCCGCCCCCGGGCAGGAAGGACATAAGTGTCTACTTTGAGGATTGGGAGATCCTGGAGTTCCAGCTGTTCAAAAATGTCATTGCCACATGACTGGAAATTCTGTTGGACTATGGTATGGGGCAGAATGACAGTACCACTACAAGAATTGAGAGAAAGATGTTTTTTAATAGTGATAGTAGTAGTATCGATATTCGAAAGGAGACAAAGATCATGAGCTTGGGTAACATTCTGGACAGTGACGATGCGCATACCGCTCCTGAGTGCATGAAATGAAATATCTCTACCAACATGACGCAGGAGCGCTTTGCCAATACTATGGTCAGAAAGGTAGGCAGAAGAAGAAGTCGGTCTTAAAGTAAAGAATTTAGTCCATTGTGTGGTCAGAAACCGAGCGTGGAGAGGGAGTGCTTGACGTGTCGGTCTTTTCCGAGTAGAATGGGAAGGTAACGAAGGAGCATCATCAGGAGATTGACGTTGGTGTTTAGGAGTAGGACCGGAGTTGGTCAGGCGTGAAATGGGCGGGCGATTCGATAATTGCCGTACCGTAGAGGGAGAAGCCGGAAGCATAGTCAATGGAGAGCGGAGTTCAGACAAATTGAAGGAGTCAGTCGAAGCCCTGGTACCTGAAGCGGATGAGGAAACAGCACCAGCAAGAAAGGGACAGGGGCATCAGGATGTCCGAAAGTGGTCTAAACACAAGGCAGGGTCAGAATGGGGTGCGGTATCAAGAAGGGGCCCGGGGGTAGTGGGTTCATGGACTAGGGCTGCCCTTTACTTTTTGTTTTTAAGAAAAAAAAGAAAGAAAAGAAAAGAAAAATAAAAAAGAATAAAAAAAGGGGGGAGCGGGGAGGAATAGTTCCGAGGAGGAATGAAAGGGCCGGAAATCTCCCTCCGCGCCCAAGAGGACCTCAACACCGCTAGTAGCGCAGATGCAGCATGGAACCCGTGCCATACCCTACCCTTCATGCCAGTAAACCAGCAATCCGGGATAGCAACCTCACATCTGCTGAGCTACCTCGGTGGACAAAAGAAAGGGTGGCCGGATATCCGCCACAAAGCATACCTCCTCCTGCCACCACCCCCGGAATCCGAAAGGTGGCTTCCAGAGATACACCCGTCGCCCGAAAGACACCCAAAGCTACTCCGGGATACCGGAGAGGGATCGGGACATCCCCAGGCAATCCAGATTCCAAGGCAAACTACGCCACCGCCAAGAACCTCAACGGAATGGGATGGACCCCGGTGTCCTTTCCCCTACCAAGGAACTACCGCGCCTGTGGGAGAAATCCCAAAGGCCAAAAAGAGGAAGGGCCAAAGGGAGGGGTGAGGAGGAGGAATGGAAAAAGGGGAGGATGGGATAGGGGAGGGGAGAATGGGGGGTAATTAGGTGCGGTCTGAGGAAGAAGACCGACAGGGCTAATTCCTCAGACTAAGAGCCTCTTCACCACGCCAAGGAGCCCCCCTTGAAGAGGCCATTTATTCAGAGACTGCTGCTTATCAGTCAGTCATGCCTCTATCCGCAGGATTTTTTTTCCAAATACCTTGAGCTGTCACTAACAAGTCTTGTGCCGTACTTCATCAAAAGCCTTATTGAACTCAAAATACAAAATATGCTATCATGATTAACTGCCTCAAATGTTTTAAAAAGCAAAGTTTTAGCAACACTTGGGTACTAATAGTAGTTTGCAATTCAGGCAGTCACTAACGTAAGCATTTAGCATTATATTATAATCAAAAAGCACTAAACCCACTTGAGTCATTCAACATTTAAATTACTATAATAAAAAAGAAGTGCAAAATCTACAAAGGTCATATTAACCCTTTGAGGGTCGACAGGCCCTCTCCGAAACTCGTTCTCAGGGTCGGCCAAATTTAAAAAAAAAAAAAAATTATTTTCTCTTATGAAAAGATAGAGAATCTTTTCCCGATCATAAAGACACCAAAAGTTTGAAATTTGATAGAAAACTTACGGAATTATGCTCTCGCAAAGTTAACGGTCTCGGCGATGTTTACGCATCAGTGATTTTGCCCACTTTGAGCCCCATTTTCGGCCAATTTCACTGTACTAGTCGACAAAAAAACATGAATATTTCGCTAGAACTCCATTTTTTCTATCGAATGGGTGCAAGAAACCACTCATTTATGAAATTCAACTATCCAGTACAGTGGTCAGAATATAGCAATTTTGCCAATTTCACACAAATTTCAAAAGATGCCAATTTCCGAATAGGGTCCAGAATAAACAAGACATTCCTGGCACTAAAATGACATTTCCTCTGGTCATTAGTCACGTCTCAAGGCCCCTCTTATATTCTTTTGCTTTCCACTTTGAATTTTTCTCACAAAAAATAGAAGATTTACTGTTATGCAGACTACTGCATTAGTGTAAGAAATGGTATAAATATTATTGGTGCACTTGTGAAAGAATATTAGACTCACCAGTTGACGTGTATTGCACGCTTGGCACAATTTGTTTACTTTTGAAGTTTGGTAAAAATCGAACATTTCTGCTACTTTGAGCTCAATTTCAAGGCACTTTTCTTTGTAAAACCAGTCAAAATCATCTTAATTTCTGTAATATGTCTTCCATTCTATAAAATGAGACCAAGAAAACTAGAATACAACAATAAATACCATACGAAAATACACTGCGAAGTCGCTGATTTATTAAAAAAAAATGGTCAAAGTTTTTTTTTTCTCATTATGCACTGTGTGCTGCAGGATTTTTTTTAGACTGTGCACACTGACCACATAGACCCATTCTTTCATATGAAGGCCTACCAGCTTTCTCCCACTAGATTTGAGGCCGCTAGAATTTATGAGTACTAGTACGTCAAAAACCCCTACACGTAAGACGTACTAGTACGACGAAAACCCTCAAAGGGTTAACAGCTTACCATTTGTCAATTTATAAAATTAAATTTGTGAATTTGTACATTTTCATTTTTTTCAGTTGAAACGAGACTACAGAAAGCAGTATTTGGAGGACCAAAAAATCTTGGATAACGTATTGAGCGGCAGTCAAGATAAGGCAAAAAACGTCGGAAATCAAGGAAAGGTTCTCGAAGTCGATATAGAACCTATCGAAGACAGCGTCAAAATCCCCGTTAATACAGTGGTGGAACCTCTACACAATGAACTTGACTGTGGAGGCATGAATGCTTTAGATACTCCAGTGCCTCTTGCGGACAAGCTCATATGCACAAATGAAGCAAAGGATATTACCAGAGAGAAATATCAGAGCAGCAACGAAGGCATCATATTTCCAAGTTCTTAGAAACCTGGATATGAATTTGACATTGCCCCCAGGGTTCGAATTTCCTTCGGTACGGCAGGAAAACATTAGGGACCTGCTGTCCATGTTCACCCATCAGTTTAAAATGGGTAACTGGGTGCTAGTAGACTGGTGTGGGTCGCGTTCTGGGACAAAACTGACCTAATTTGTCAGAAATGCTCAGCATAAGAAGCGGCTTTCTATATAGTAGTACGTCATTGGTGTCAACTGTATACCTGTATACCTTGTACATGTACTTGTAGTAAATAGATATTAAGGCAAAAATAACTGACATGAGTAAAACAAGTCCTGCTGACCTATGCTCAGCAAGCCTAACTCAACCACTCATGTACTTGTCAAAAATTTGTCCCACTATCCATTATTTCAAAACCAGTGCTTTACTTTCTATTCTAATTAATTTTTTTCCAACTCAACTTCTGGGAGTCTTGTCGGTCAAGATATTTTCAACACTTTTATGTAATTATTCCTGTCTTGCTATGAGCAGCCAATGTAAATTCAATGCCCTCAATATCGAAGGAAATTCTGATTGATACACGAGATCAACTTAATCCTCATGTTGTCAATTTTGTTTATACAAAAAAAAAAAAATACTATGCAACACAATCTAAAAAGAAGCTTTGCCACAGTTAAATAAAATTAAAATGTAACCCTATTTATATACATATATATATATATATATAATATATATATATATATATATATGTCGTGCCGAATATGTAAAACTGGTCAATTAGCAAGAACTCATTTAAAATTAAGTCCTTTCTAAAATTTTCTATTGTACGTTTAAAGATATATTTTTTTACATTAATGTTAATGTAAAAATTTTTAATTTTGCACCAAAAGAATCTTAGAAAACTTACCTAACCTTGTTGTAACAAGAACAATTTATTTTAACCTAACCCAACTAAATATATTTTAGATTTGTTTACAGTAATATAATACTATACAAGCCCAGTGAAATATATTTTTTTCGTTAGGTTCAGAATGATTTTGGCAAAATTATTGCATACGCAAATTTTCACTTGTCCTATATGGCAAGATGAGCGTTGCTATTTAAGCCAATATCGCAAGTTTCTGCCTTTTCGCACGACATATATATATATATATATATATATATATATTAAAATATATTATATATATATAATTATATATATACAGTGGACCCCCCCCATAACGATTACCTCCGAATGCGCCCAAATTTATGTAAGTGCGTTTGTACGTGTATGTTTGGGGGTCTGAAATGGACTAATCTACTTCACAATATTCCTTATGGGAATAAATTCGGTCAGTACTGGCCCCTGACATACTTATGGAGTGAAAAATATCGTTAACCGGGTCCACTGTGTGTATATATATATATATATAATATATATATATATATAATATATAATATATATAAATTATTATAAAATATATATATATTTTAATAAATATATATATATAATAAATATATATATATATAATATATAAATATTATATATAATATAATATATATATATATATATATATATATATATATATATATATTATATATAAAATATTATAATAAAAATATATATAATATATATATATATATAAAAATATATAAAATATATATATATAATATATATATATAAATATATAAAAAAAATATATAAATATATATATAAAAAATATATTTTAAATATTATAATATAAATAAATATAATATATAAATAAAATATATCAAATATATATAATACAATATAAACAAATATTAAATATATATATACAATATATATATAATAATAAATATAAATATATATAAATATATATATATAATGTAATATAAATATATATAAATAAAAAATATATAAAATATATATATATATATAATATATATATTATAAATATATATATATACAAAATATAAAATATAAGTGGACCCCCGCATAGCAAACCTTAATCCGTGCAAGAGGGCTGGCTGTTATGCGAAATTTTTCGGTATGTGAATGAATTTTCCCCATAAGAAAAAATGGAAATAAAATTAATCCGTGCAAGACACCCAAAAGTATGAAAAAAAATTTTTTTTACCACAAAAAAGTTAATTTTAGTACACACAAACTGAAAAAGGCAGGGCCCCAATTACATGACATTTACTTTTATTGAAGATCTGGTGATGATTGATGGGATGGGAGGAGGGGAGAGAGAGTGTTAGTGTTTAGAAGGGGAATCCCCTTCCATTAAGACTTGAGGAGGCAAGTCCTTTTCTGGGGTTACTTCCCTTCTTCTTTTAATGCCACTAGGACCAGCTTCAGTCACTGGACTTCTTTCGCACAACATATCTGTCCATAGTGGCCTGTACCTCTCGTTCCTTTATGATTTGTCTAAAGTGGTTCACAACATTGTCATTGTAACAGTCACCAGCACGGCTTGCAATAGCTGTGTGAGGGTGATTTTCATCAAAAAAGGTTTGCACTTCAAGCCATTTTGCACACATTTCCTTTAAACTTTGAAGTAGGCAATTCCTTCAATTTCTCTCTCCCTCCTTTGAACCATTTTCCCCAGGTCTGGCCTCTTGCTCTTGAAGTTGATCTATCAGCTCATCAGTGGTTAGTTCTTCATTGTCCCCTCCACCAACTCTTGCACATCGTCCCCACTAACCTCCAACCCCAAGGGCTTCCCCCAAACCACAATTGATTCCTCAACTGGTATACTCCTCTCAGGTTTTGCCTCAAACCCTTCAAAATCCCTTTTGTCTACACATTCTGGCCACAGTTTCTTCCAAGCAGAGTTCAAGGTTCTCTTAGTCACTCCCTCCCAAGCCTTACCTATAAGGTTTTTCACAATTGAGGACATTAAAGTGATCCCTTTCCCAAAAATCTTTTAGAGTCAATCGAGTGTCTGTGGTCACTTCAAAGCACTTTTGAAACAGAGCTTTTGTGTACAGTTTTCTTGAAAGTTGGAAATGACCTGCTGGTCATGGGCTGCAGGAGAGGAGTGGTATTAGGAGGCAAAAACTTCACCTTAATGAAGCTCATGTCCCCATAAAGTCGCTCTGCCACGTCTGTAGGATGACCAGGGGCATTGTCTAACACCAGGAGGCACTTAAGTTCTAATTTCTTTTCAGTTAGGTAATCTTGACATTGGGGGCAAATGCATGGTGTAACCAGTTATAGAAAAAAATCCCTAGTGACCCATGCCTTACTGTTTGATCTCCACAGCACACACAAATTATCCTTGAGGACATTCTTTTGCCTGAACGCTCTGGGGGTTTCAGAGTGATACACTAATAAAGGCTTAACTTTGCAATCACCACTAGCATTGGCACACATCAACAAAGTAAGCCTGTCTTTCATAGGCTATGTCCTGGGAGTGCCCTTTTTCCCCCTGAGTAATGTAGGTCCTGCTGGCATTTTCTTCCAGAACAGGCCTGTTTCATCACAATTAAACACTTGTTCAGGTTTCAGTTTCTATGTACTCCTTGAATTCCTGCACATATTTTTCAGCCGCTTTGTGGTCCGAACTGGCAGCCTCACCATGCCGTATCACACTATGTATGCCACTACGCTTCTTAAATCTCTCAAACCAACCTTTGCTGGCCTTAAATTCACTCACATCATCACTAGTTGCAGGCCTTTTTTTAATTAAATCCTCATGCAACTTCCTAGCCTTTTCACATATGATCGCTTGAGAGACGCTATCTCCTGCTAGCTGTTTTTCATTTATCCACACCAATAAGATTATTATTGTAAAGTAAAAGGACACAAGTGCAACTAATGTGACATTTATTGTGGCATTGCCACAATAAATGTCACATTAGTTGCACTTGTGTCCTTTTACTTTACATATTGTCGGTAATTCTACCAACTTTATTACAAGATTATTATTATAATCAAAAAGAAGCGCTAAGCCACAAGGACTATACAGCGCTGCAGGGCAGGAAGGAAGCGAGGGCATCAGGTTGGCAAAAGGGAGATGGACGAGTAATGGGTTTTAGGGATAACAGCGGGGTAGTGGATGGTAAAAGGGGTAAAGGGCAGCAAGAGACTGAACTAGAAAGGGCTGAGGGAGTGCGAAAAGTACATCAGAGTTTGTGGAGTAAATCAGTTGTTGTCAAGAAGTCAATGAAGAGTCAGGATATAAAGGAGGGTCCATCAGCAAGAAGGGAAGGTAAAGAGAGAGTAGTAGAACAAAGACGACGTTGGAGGTAAATTTCTGCGTGCTCGTTAAATAGAGAGGGCAGTCTAACAGAATGTGGCTAATCGATACTGGAACTTGACACGCTCACAGAGAGGAACAGGGTGCCTCTCCATGAGATACCCCCTGAGTAAGACGAGTGTGGCCAATGCGAAGGCGGGAGAGAGTGGTCTCCCAACCTCGGCACTGATGACAAGATGACGGCCAGTAACCATGCTCGGGTTTAATACAATGAAGTTTGTTACCGAGCAGGGTTGACCAACTTGTTGCCAACGGTTGGGAAAGGTGGGTGCTATTTAAGCAAAATAGTCCAGAAAGGAACACCTTTGATAGGAAATTGTAGGTCAGTACTGCTGACTGCGCAGCAGTGTCTCCTGTTCATTGCCCTGTAAAGTCGACATGACCCGGGGCCCAACAAAAACAATATCTTTATGTTTGGTAAGATACGGCGTTTGCCAAAGTTGGATCGGAGAACTAGGGGATGAGATGTATCAAATTTTCGTATAGCCTGTAAGATCACTAAGGAGTCTGAGACTACTAACAAATGATGACACAGGCATAGATGCGATACGAAAAAAGTGCCAAAAAATGGCATACAGTTCAGCAGAAAAATGCTAGCTGAAGATAGTAAATGCCCCCGTACGACGCAGTCCGGAAACACTGCTGCGAATCCGACGCCGTCTGAAGACTTAGAGCCATCTGTGTACACAGCGGTGGCATGAGAATGGGAGTGGAAGTGATCAAGAAAAAGAGAGCGGGAAGCCACCTTAGGCAGTTTTAGCTTTCGAGCAAGGGAGTGAAAAGAAAACAGACCCGAACAGCTGGAACTTCCCAGGGGGGGAGGGAAAAGTGAGATGCTACATGAACATATAAAGGTGGTAACTGAAGGGAAGACAAGAGTGAATGTAGGTGAAGAGAAAAAGGGGCGGAGCAAACGGGCGGCGAACGAAATAAAGAATGTCCCACTAATTCGGTGACCATTCTATAAATGGAAGGATTGTGTAGATCGTGAG